CCCAGTATGGACTCCTAAGAGTTAATATTTGCCATTGCAATAAGTAACCCAGTATGGACTCCTAAGAGTTAATATTTGCCATTGCAATAAGTAACCCAGTATGGACTCCTAAGAGTTAATATTTGCCATTGCAATAAGTAACCCAGTATGGACTCCAAAGAGTTAATATTTGCCATTGCAATAAGTAACCCAGTATGGACTCCAAAGAGTTAATATTTGCCTTTGCAATAAGTAACCCAGTATGGACTCCCATTGCAATAAGTAACCCAGTATGGACTCCCATTGCAATAAGTAACCCAGTATGGACTCCAAGGAGTTAATATTTGCCATTGCAATAAGTAACCCAGTATGGACTCCTAAGAGTTAATATTTGCCATTGCAATAAGTAACCCAGTATGGACTCCTAAGAGTTAATATTTGCCATTGCAATAATTAACCCAGTATGGACTCCTAAGAGTTAATATTTGCCATTGCAATAAGTAACCCAGTATGGACTCCTAAGAGTTAATATTTGCCATTGCAATGAGTAACCCAGTATGGACTCCTAAGAGTTAATATTTGCCATTGCAATAAGTAACCCAATATGGACTCCAAAGAGTTAATTTATTGCAAAAAGTTAAATGTTTAATGACACTATTCCAACATTTTTCATGTATTTCTGTAATCACATAGAATTGCCAGATATGCTGATGTTATTGCAAGGGTATAGTGTAATGGAGTTCTATTCCATGCATACGACTATCATTCATAAGTAGCTTAAACTATTCTCTATCTGTAAACAAGAATTCTTACTGGCGAACATTAAATTTAAATTCGATAAATGTAATTTTATTCATCATGTTTTATTTAGTCAGTGGAAGACATCTGTATTACTGACTATCACTGCACTATAGAGTTTCACACTTTGTTAGTAGGCTCGATCTTGCAATAGTCCAATGTTTACAAGAATTTTGCTGCAAAAAAAAAGATACAGAAAGCGATACAAAGAATCTTGGTACAAAATAATTACATGTTTCGCATTGTTGCATTATTCCTTCATACAATCTACCTTCTTACCATACATGGTGTGGAAATAAACTTATGGGATATTAGGTAATATATTCATCTGGTAATCTGGTTCTGTATTGAGTAAACAGTAATATGTAATGTCTTTTATAGCCGACTATATGGTATGGGTTTTCTCATCGTTGAAGGCCGTATGGTTGCCTATAATTACTTACATACACTTCACTTGAACTTTGGTGAATAGTTGTCTCATTGGTAATCTTACCACATCTTCTTATTTTCATAATACAGTTGTTATAACGTTACAGTGGTACTGAACTATTCAACATGTGAACTTGAATTGCAGAATAAGAACTATAAAATACGTACATAACAATTTCGGTGTACTCGCTACGATACATATTAGAAACGCTAGAAGACGTTCGCTCTTTTCCTGTTTCGCAGACTTGTTTCAAATAATTACACTTTTGGACATTATACGTAAATAAAATGTATATTGCATATGGATCAGTTGCAAATTTAAATACAAATCAATGTTTCTGTAATCTTAAACGCAAAATAGACATATTTGAAGCAACGAACTTTTTCTTTTATTTTCTTTTCTTTCTTTGTATTTTAGCCAGAAAACACAAGTTCTCGATAATGTAATGCAAATCCATGATGCACACAGTTTGAATCAAAGAAAAATTAAGTCATTGCATATGATCAACTGACCAAAGGGCGATAACTGTCATTGTTATCGAAGCAATGTGTGGGGAAGATTGTTTTGTTATCTCCTCAAACAAAAACACAAATTTGGAAAAAATAAATTATAAATTTTTGTGATTGAGAGTTAAGGTGGTACCCAACACCTTGACTAATATTAATTTGGCTCGTTTAATTTTCATAAAATTTTGACAAAATGTTTACTTTGACCCTTTGACAAAAATATAAAAATTTCAAAAAATTTGAACCAACCACTTTATCAGAAAAATTTTATTGGTTATATAGCAGTTTGACAAACACTAATTTTGATCATTGAGAAGATTATAATATTTCCTTAACAATACAACGTGATAAAAACGTTTAGCTGATTTTTACAGAGTTATCTCCCTGTAGTGTTCGGTACCACCTTAATTGCTCAATGACCCGCGGCAATTATTTCATGAGTAATCCGAGACGAAATGAATTAGAAAAAATACAAGAGCTGTTTTATATATTAAAATTGAGAATGGAAATGGGGAATGTGTCAAAGAGACAACAACCCGACCATAGAACAGACAACAGCAGAAGGTCACCAACAGGTCCTCAATGCAGCGAGAAATTCCCGCACCCGGAGGCGTCCTTCAGCTGGCTGATGGTTGATGCTGTAGTCTTTCGGAATACCGGAAATGCCTACAGTTACTGTCTTTTCGGAATACATCTGTTCTTTTCTATGGCCACCTGCGTAATAGGTAATGAACTGATCTAAAAAAATATGTATTAGCGTCCAACAGTTGGTATAGAGATAAGTGTTAATCGAGACTGATTGATATCGTACATCAATAGCATAAGCTTCTTCAAAACAAAGACTGTTTTTACATTTACATTTCGACTTTAACAATATAATCTAAATGTAGAGGATATGTTTTCGTTATCCTCACATGCTTATATGTACGAGCACGCGAGTTAAGATAGATCTGAATTTTTATCAGATTGCATGTTGTAATGTTATCTAAAGGAAGAGAGAGAGAGAGGGATGGGAGAGAGAGAGAGATCGTTTCTTAACAAGGAAATTAGACCCCAGGTAGAACAGCAGCATCATTAAGAATCCATGTCAGTTTTTTTCTACATTTTATATTAAAATAATGAGATAAAATCATGCTTCTTTATTAAATTTAAATTCGATAAATATTATTATCTGATCGTTCATGCCAAACATGCATTTAAGTTCACGATTGCATTTTTTTTTAAAGAAAGCAACTTGTTTGTTGTTTGTTGTAAAATTGTGTTGAAAATTGAGAATACCACAAGCCTCTTAATAAATAATGTTGTGAAAGCCTCCATCAAGGATTTCTTAGGAGTCATTCCTTACTATAAATGATTATAATAGATTGCTTACTGTTCACGATCAACAACGATATCGTCCAGAAAACAAAAATTATGACAAGTGGGATTGATTAACGCCCAGTTGGTAATATTTCATGCATATCAAGTTAAGTAGGTAGCATTTGCAAAGTGGATCAATATAGACACGGGGAAAAGTTTATGACATAGTGACCACAGTGTACCTTTGTAATAAAGAGAGTATAGGGTTGGGTCAGATATTTGCCACTGCAATAAGTAACCCAGTATGGACCCCAAATAGTTAATTTATTGCAAAAAGTTAAATGTTTAATGACACTATTCCAACATTTTTCATGTATTTCTGTAATCACACAGAATAGCCAGATATGCTGATATTAGCGACTAAATGTGTTTGACATTGTGTTTTGGTAGTAATAGATTACAAACGCAAATCACAGAGTTTCTTAAGATGTATTATTTTCTTTTTCTTTTTTTTTTCTATGAAAAAAATCATTAAATCAAACAATAGGTTTGAGGGAACCCGCATTCATTTGCAAGGCCTGGTTTTTATCAATGTAAGCATTTCACATTTGTTAATTCAGATAGAAAATCTTCTAATATAATTCTGTTAAATTTTATTTATCATATAACGTGTTCCCTAATTGACATATTCAGTTACTAGCATGTCAATTGTTTTTTCAACGTTGACCTTTCAATTATTCTGACATTTTAACACATTAACAAGCAAAGCCAGTAATTTGATGTAATAAGCTCTCTACGTACATGTATGATACAGGCGTGCATTAACATACGAGGTATAGTAATTTTATGTGAATATATATTATTTCTAATCCTGAAGATTTATTTTTGTTTTGTTCTATTCCGGACAAAGGTTATCATCTGGACATTAACATCAACACAAGGCCATTCATTCTATGCAAGAGATTTCAGCGAGGAATAATTTTAAAGAAAATAAAATAATGTTTCAAAATGAAAACAGCTAAAATTTTGAATTTCGTACATGTATATTTGTTGGGTTGAAGATAATCAACAATTTCATTTTTATAGAATTGAACACAAATAAAGTGTCAATTTCAATTTAAGATCGAATAAATTATTAATATAAAAATAAGGAGATGTGGTATGATTGCCAATGAGACAACTATCCGCCAAAGTTGAAATGAAGTGGATGTAAGGAAATATTGGCAACCATGCGGCCTTCAACAATGAGAAAACCCATACTGTATAGTCGGCTATAAAAGGCTCCGAAATGAAAATTATGAAACACTAACGGCCTAATTCATAACAAAACAATTAACGAAAAATAAATATGACAGACATGAACTAACGAAAACCACTGAATGACAGGCTTCTGACTTGGGATTCATTCAAGTTATTGGTCACGTGATGTAACTTATCATCGGTTAGTTATGATTGACATATATCAGCGCCTTTTACGGGTATATGCAGCTTATGAAATTCGTGATGAGCATGATATAGTATTACTGAAAGGGTTCGTTCAAGCATTTGAAGATATTCGAAGTTTGTCAATCAGTTTATGTTGCAGCAGTTCGTAATTACGTTTCATCTTGTTTGAGTTGATTATTGTCTATGTGGATATTTGTATAATTTATATTAACTTTAATGTATTTTTACTTTTGTGTAGATATATTTGATTATGTAAGATTCTTAATATGTCAGGATTTGCAGCGCATGCCTGAGTTTAGTGAATTGACATTAATCTGAAGACTATATATTGAATTAATAAATTCAGTAAAGGCGGTTAAACCTGTAGACAAAGTTATACTTTTCATGTGTTGTTTTTTTTTAAGAAATATTTTATTTTCGTTTGAGCTTGGCGAATTAGGATATCACTCGATTTTATATTCGGAGTCGGTTCACTTAACTTTGCTAGTTTAAATCGTATTTAAATATCCACTTACTTATTGAACCGCAACATATACACAAAAATAACAATAATATGCATGCGTTTACGTGGCGGGTATACAGTATGGTTTCTTTCGAAATTGTTGTTTATTGACTTGGTGCAGAATTCCGCTGAGGTCAGTACCTTCGAGGTAAGTGTATTTAATGAACACGAAATCTGTGACAAAGTTTGTTATCGTATATACATGTATTTCCGATGAAAGATGATATATGTACATGATTTGTTTATTGATGAGTTTTCCTTGTGTGAATAATGTTTATATGTGCTTGATCTTATATACTTATTGTTTCTAATGACATACCAAAGGATGCAAACACTTGGTAACCGTAAGATCTACACAAAAATGTACCCCATATAAAACTAAATAACCTCTAAAGATTGAAAACGTTAATGCGACGTTCAGATAGTGCCTATTATGACTCGATTCAGTTGTTATATAAAATATTGCATAATCAATTCGAAAATGGAGATCATTAATGTTAATCATAAGAACTTTTGGCGTTACAGACGACTTGACGATTTTTAAAATTCTTTCGATTTGTGTGACGTCCTGTCAGAATGGGGACGTTAAATCCGATGCCTCGTATAGAGAGAATGACGTGCTCTCTGCACGTTCAGAACCCTTACAACAACTCTTCAGGTGACCTGTTGCAATGCCAAATTTCTGTCCCTATCCAATATGCCCTCATTTTCCAGTGGCAGTCGAAATTTATCCGATATTATCCCGGGCGGCCTCAATTACAAGACCTACCTATTGTATGTATTGTTAATTTGTTATTCGTCCTGAACATGCATGAAATATTTGCCACTGGACGTTAAGCAATCAAGAATCAATCAATCAATCGATTTGTGTGAGGTTTTTTTCTTTTTCTCTTTTCCTTTTCGACTGCATTTCGACAATTTGTTACAAAGAGCATGCGAGGAAGAAAGCCATCTGCTTATAATCATACATACGGAACAGAAGGCGCTATGAAGCCCCAACCGTTCACCTGGTATAAATGCAAACATATTGAATCTGTCGTGTACACTGAAGTTGTACCAATAACGTAAAACTCTATTCCTCAAAGGTGTATAATTTCAGACATAAATGGAATAGCCTTGCAACCTTCGTTAGTCGCCGAAATGAGTTATAATATTCCGTTTGGGATTACAGTAAAGATATTCAACATTTTTATTCTAGCCAAAATATTGAAAAGTGCATTTGTTTTGATCAATACAAACAACTGTTGGTAAACAACTTTTTCAGAAAAGTTGCTAGATTGATCCATCTGAAAACATCATCTTGCCTGTCCCAAGTCAGGACCCTGTAGTTCAGTGGTTATCTTAAGATCATGTCTGTCATATTTGTTTTTCATAAATTGTTTTGTTATAGATTAGTTTACTCGTTTGAATAGTTCCATATTTTTCATGTCGGGGCCTTTTATAGCCGACTTTACGGTATGGGTTTTTTCTCATTGTTGACGGTTGAACGGTTGCCTATAATTGCCTACATCAACTTTATTTGAACTCTGCGTGGATAGTCTCATTGGCAATCATACCACATCTCCCTTTTTATATATCTTCCGAGAGATCAATGTCATAAACAATCGGATATAAAAAAAAAAGAAAGTAATATGCTCAAGTTGTTGCCTATTATTTATAAGAATTTGCACTTTGTGATATTTTCCCTGAAATGCTGAATTCACTTTTGCACAGGAGAACCACTCTTTGGAGTTCTACTTGAAAAAAGTCTATAATACATTTATCATATAAATAGCTCAACAAGGGGCCTAAATCCGCCTCTGTACTTAGTAAAGTTATATCCCATTATTACACCCCAAATAGATTATTTTATCCCACTTGCATCACTGGCCTCAACCTGTTCTTTAAAAGAATAAGCTCTCAACTATTATTTATTACTTTAAATTACTAATGATTTTGTAGTCGTTAAAATGAAATACATTTGTTGCATGTTGAATTTTTCACTTTTACTAACGTTTGAATGTAGTATTATAATTACATTAGATTACATAAATGATTCAACTCGTTGAACAAGTTGCTGAACTGAAGGCCATAAAATTGAATAGAATTGTACATGTAATAAAAGTAAATATATAATCCCACGTGTATACTGAAGTGAGATTTTGTGAATGAAATGACAGTCTATAGAAGATACCCAACTGTGTTAAATATGGGAGGAGGGGGTCAGAATCAAAATCCGCAGCAATATATCTAAATATAAGAAGACGTTGTATGATTGCCAATGAAACAATTATCCACAAGAGACCAAATGACGTAGAGGTTAGCGACTATAGACCATCGTACGGCCTTAAAAAATGAGCAAAACCTATTCATAAACTTATTTTTCGTTTTTCCTTTGGTTTTCAGTAGTATATCAAAGAGGCTGGTGTTTATTTAAAGGGGCATGTGTGGCTTATTTAATTCCATTGATCAACAATAATAGTACAAGATAAATTCCTACATTTTGTGTTTGTTCCAGGATATTTATTTTAATCCTGTCTTATGCAAGGTTGTTTTTTTTTCCAAATCTTCTTGGACCCCACCCACCCACCACCACTCCCAGCATAACAAATGGTCCTCCCCTAAGTAAATGCAGTGCTATACTTTCCAGTTTGATAGGACAGTACACGTGTTACAATGAGACAAATTAGAAACAAAGGACCAAGGTACAATGTAATCAAGAAACAAGAAGAGACTACATATACGGTTGAGTAAACATTTAAATCTAAAGCTTTAAGAACGAAAATAACAATCCTTTATCAAGAAGTCCACCATCATCTCTTTATACACGCAATCGATGATTTTATGAGCAGTATTAATTACAGTAATTAATTTAAAATTTGACAAATAATAATCCTATAAAGCTTATGGGTATTACCATGTCTCTATTCTACAAGTAGCCGTCTACCGATCGATCCCAATTATCCACAATCAATGCTGTGAATACCACAGAATTGTCATGGCGAAGAGAAATTGACATCTTTTCCCTGCTACTAAAATAATCGATATTTAAATGTAGATTCTTGGGCAGTGTATGAATTATTATAATCATCTGAGATTTATTCTACAAATCGTTTTCAGGAGTAATACCTATCTTAATCCGGGGATTAATAAGGTGTAAAGGATGCCAGGTAAAGTTTGATATTACATGTTGTATTGAATGTTTGTTTTAATGAAATGGTACATTTAATGAAATTGTTTCGTGAAATTGACATTTTCAGTGACCATATGGAACACAAAAATATTGCAAATGACAATTTGATGTGAATTATCCACTTTTGAATCCACCAGAAGTAATTGTCAGTATATTTATAGGATGTTATTCAAATGGCATTTAAATTTGAGATAAAAAAAACTGTCATTTTTCTAATAGGAAATTATAGATGCCATAAAAATATGATATGAATGCTTCATAATTATTTTTATTTACTTTAAGACATTTTAAACATTAATAAAGATACAATTCAAACATTTTTTTTCTGGTTTAATTATATTGTATGTTTGTCGATCTACCGGTGGGGAATAAGTACTCATTTATATAACTTTTCTTCTTTAAATGTGTATGTATCTGTCCTTACTCTCTTCTTTATATGTGTATGTACCTGTCGTTACTCTCTTCTTTATATGTGTATGAACCTGTCCTTACTCTCTTCTTTATATGTGTATGTACCTGTCCTTACTCTCTTTTTTATATGTGTATGTACCTGTCCTTACTCTCTTCTTTATATGTGTATGTACCTGTCGTTACTCTCTTCTTTTTATGTGTATGAACCTGTCCTTACTCTTTTCTTTATATGTGTATGTACCTGTCCTTACTCTCTTCTTCATATGTGTATGTACCTGTCCTTACTCTCTTCTTTATATGTGTATGTACCTGTCCTTACTCTCTTCTTTATATGTGTATGTACCTGTCCTTACTCTCTTCTTTATATGTGTATGTACCTGTCCTTACTCTCTTCTTTATATGTGTATGTACCTGTCCTTACTCTCTTGTCATATATATAGGTTTTGCTTAAGTCTTTTTTCGTTTTATTGTAGTTTAGGGGTGTCTATGTGTTCGTGAAGTGTGTGTCTGTTTGCATTAAAGTTTGGTGTTAGTTTCATGGATATAAGCACTATTTTATACCCGTGGTTTCACGTACTAAATTTCAATCTTTTGTGGTGTTAACACATGTACACCAAGTTAGTTCAAGTTGGATAGATGTACTTCAAGAAAACTGATTCATTGCTAAACTGGTCTTGGAAAATTAGCATACATTCTGGTTCCAAGAAGTTAAATTGTGAAAAAAAATGAAGCTCACTGTACACATAGATCTTTTTTCATCCCAGAAATCAAAATTTCGTCGAAAGCACACTTTTCATGTATGTTTTCACGACGGACTCTCTGTTGAAATTATTCACAACGTCTGTCGACTTGGACCAATTTCGAGGTTGTTATACGCGATGGGGGTTTGTTCATTCCTAATGACCATGTTGTGATCCCTTGTGGCCTTTGCGGATCACTTTTTTATTGACCTGTTTCTGTTTTTATTTTTTTTCATTTACTCCATAAGCTCTTCGCTTTTTTTAAAGCCTCGTTTACAGTTTACACAGGCAAATTTTGCTCACGTGAAATTCACGTAAAAAAATTCACGTGAATTAAGAATCACATAAATCTCACGTGAATTTTTCCACATGCATCTTACGTTAACTCTTTCACATGAATTTCCCGTGAACTTTACCAAAAAAAAATAATACATTTTTGAAATTTTTTATGTTTTTAATTAAATTTGATAATTTGATAATTTGAAAAACTTTATGTTTTATAAAATCACGTGAATTTCACGTGAATAAAATTCATGTGATTTTCACGTGAAATTCACGTGCGTTTCACATGCAATGCAGGTGAAACTCACGTGAACTCAGTCCACGTGAGTTTCGCGTTGAATCCCGTTTGAGGTGAAATTGACGTTTTAGAATAGAGACATATTGTCTGGTCCTTCCCTCTCCAGTCACGTGACCCTGCTCATAGAGCTACTGATATCATTTCTGTTAGTAGATTTCTTTAAAGTCTATATTAAAATACAAAATTGGTATAAAATTGGAATCCGGATATCGCACTAGTTCTTTGATATCGTGCTCTGTGCTCAT